ATATATATATAATGCCTCCTGTATTACAGGAGAACACAAAAGGTATCTCATGTCTTATAGGAGAAATATATATAAAATAACCTCCTGCTTTGTTCTTTGTAGGAGTATATGACAAATGTCTTCTGCATTGTAGGAATATATATAAATTGTCTCATATATTACAGGAGAATATATAAAAGATGTCCTGCTTTGCAGAAGAATATATATACCTCGTACCTTGCAGGAGAATATACAAAATATCTCTTACAATGCAGGAGGATGTATATAATTGTCTCCTGCCTTGCAGGAGGATGTGACAAATGTCTCATGCATTGCAAAAATATATATAAATTATCTCTTGTATTACAGGAGAATATGACAAGTGCCTCATATATTATAAGAATATATATAAATTGCCTCATGTATTATAAGAGAATTTAAAAGTTAGCTCCTGCCTTGCAGGAATATATATAATTTGTCTCTTGTATTACAGGAGGAATTTCTAAAATAACACATTTTTAGTTAAATTGTTAAGTCTAATATTTCTTTAGATATTAACCATTAATTGACGGCATAGGTCTTTGACCGGCTGTCTATAAATTGATATGCTCCTTCTTCATATGTCTTTTCGATAATGAAGGGTCAATCCCACATTGGGTCGAATTTATTGCTGATGCAACAATGAAGAATTATAATTATTATACGAACCAAGTTTGCATTCCTTAAAGCTCCTAGGATGGACCATTCGATCATGAGCCCTAGTCATTCGCGCTTTATAGATTTCTAGGTTTTGTTGAGCTTGAAGATGAATTTCATCTAGGGCTTCGAGTCGTAGAGAATAATTTTTTTTCTTTAGTGAGTTTGTATTGTATAGCAATATGAAGTGGCGGTAGTTCCCCCTCGAGAGGTAATATCGCTTTTGTTCCGCAGACCAACGAATATGGAGTAGCCTATATCGTAATCTTATAAGTAATGTGAGATGACCACAAGGCTTCTATCAGTTTATCATATCATTCTCTATTATTTTTAGAAAGAATTTTCTTGAATAATTTTATCATAATTCTGTTAAAAGCTTCGGCCAAATCACTGGCACTTAGAATGTTTTTGGCCAGCAACAGAGGACAGAATGACATTACAATTGGAGAGAGGGTTTGAATTTGAAATTGAGGCATTGCAAGGACAACCCAAATTAACTGATCAATCGATTGAGATAGCAAAGAAGGTAATTTCCTCATAGGAGTACGTTAGGTCAATAGTAGGAGTGTCAATAAATGATATGACCAAAACATGATTCAAAAAATTCATGTTGGATTGACCCGACTAACATTCGATTTAGATTTGGATGAGAATTATAAATCCAATTATTATTCGGGTCGAGACCAATTTGATCAAATCAACTTAAAATTGACTCAATTATTATTTGAGTTTAGAATAAGCAAGTTCGGGTCAAGTTAATTAAGCTAAATGTATTATATTTAGGTTAAGTGGGTCGTGTTGATTCAAAAAAGTATTGATTTCTGCCAACCAGATTCAGGTTGAGTAAATTTGGGACTTGAGTTAGACCTAAACATAACTCGTTAAACTAAATTGACAGTTTGACACCCCTAATTAATAGATTTAAGATTACCAATAATCTTAATATTTGACCAAATATTCATATTCATTTGGATCCACACAGAGTGTAAGGGAATGTCTTTAACTCTTTTGACAAAAACAAAAGCTCATATCTTTGCACGATTAGATTTGTCATCATTGTGCTAATACATGCGCATTAGAGAGCTAAAATGAACTATAAAGTGGGAAATGCTGGGGGCGTTTCAGAGGTTGAAGGGAGAACCACTCAACTTAAGCCAACATAAGATATCTTTACCCTTTGGAGTAGCACCAATTTTTGGTAACCACAATTTAATTATAGCAAAAGAAACTACTACATTGCATGACCATCTTATAACAATTCATGTTGATCATTGTAATAGCTCGTATTTTGACTCCATAAAAAATTGAGTTAAGCGTGCTCATCTTGGAGCAATTCTGGGATGGATGACCTACTAGAAAATTACACTAACAAGACAAAACTGTGAGGCTCTTCAGACAAAGCAGACAATATCTCGATAGTTAAGAGTTTGAATTGTTACAACCATCCCCTTGATTTTAAATTGGAAAAATGAAGCAAAGCATCATGATCATCATTACCACTATCATCATCATCATTATGTACATAGGGCCTTCTTAATGTATTATTATTATTATTATTGTGTCAAATGCATGCCTAGTTATTGATCATGCATAAGTGTGCCATGTTTGGATTAATCTTATCTTCCACTGGAGCTACTCCAACTTTTTTCATGTATATGCTCATTTTGTATCCTATCTCTAAGGGTAAAGCCACTCACGATTTAAGATTACCAATAATCTTAACATTTGACTAAATATTCATATTCATTTGGATCCGCACAGAGTGTAAGGGAATGTATTTAAGTCTCTTGACACAAACAAAAGCTCATATCTTTGCAAGATTAGATTTGTCATCATTGTGCTGATACATGCAAATTAGAGAGCCAAAATGAACTATAAAGTGGTAAATGATGGGGGCGTTTCAGAGGTTGAAGGGATAACCACTCAACTTTAGCCAACATAAGATATCCTTACCCTTTGGAGTAGCAACAATTTTTGGTAACTACGATTTAACTATAGCAAAAGAAACTACTTCATTGCATGACCGTTTAATAACAATTAATGTTGATCATTGTAATAATCCATATTTTGGAGTGAGTTAAGCGTGCTCATCCCGGAGCAATTCTGGGATGGGTGACCTATTGGGAAGTTACATCAACAGGACAAAACCGTGAGGCTCATAAGCCAAAGCGGATAATATCTCGATAGTTAAGAGTTTGGCCTGTTACAACCATCCCCTTGACTTTAAATTGGAAAAATGAAGCAAGGCATCATGATCATAATTATCACTATCATCATCATTATTGTCACTATGCATTGTTATTGATCATGCATAAAATTGTGCCTTGTTTGGATTAAACAAAAAAAAAAACTAAATCAATCTTATTTGGTTAGTTCATTCGGTAGTAAAAATATCAGTTCGACATTGGTTGTTACTTTTAACTTTTTTTATCTTTTAATAAGATTTTGAGTATTTCTTTTATAAGATCAATCAAATCAAAAATAGAATTATACTAATTTATTCAAATGGAAAGTTATTAATAGAGACAAAATTGAGAAATGGTAACGTGACTTCCACATGTTTCATTCTCATGAGATTAGGGAGAAAATCTAGACGTGTCCCAACCCCTTTCAACCATTGCAAACCACAAAGTTTCTACACTTTGAAACAAAATACCCTTTCTCCATGCACTTAAAACAAACCAATTTTTTAGAGTGTCCAAAAAAAAAATGGAGATGAAGGAGAAGACGAATTTATCTGGGAGGACAAATATCACTACAAAGGCACAAACTGTGTCAGCAAGGGAAAAATGGAAATGATTAATAAGATGCTCTGGAGGTTTCTCTCGGACAAACCAAGCATAGCAAGGACAATCTCAAGAAGCCGCTTAATAACCTAACTATTTTATTATGTCAAACAAATGCTGTCATCATCATCATATCGTTAAAAGAGAAAGTGTTCCTAATCAAAATTGCAATCTATGATCTTCTTTTGATAAACCGTTGAACAGCCACATATGCCACTACATATTAATCAGATTTTGCATGGAAGGTGTTTGAGTTCTGATAAATCCCAGCTGGGTTAATGAAGATATAGACTTTCAAATTATTTTGTATTGAGCCCACTAGACTTAATCAAGCAATTCAGATTCCGCAGCACGGTTAAGAACTAATACCTAGAATAAACTTATCTGGTGAAGCATTAGAAACCTGCAAGTAATCAAGGATTTACCAATTAGCTTGAAAAATCGAACACCACAAGCAAAGCAGCCAATGCAATTGCAGACACCAAACTAGTGATGGGATAAAACGATCCTGTAAACTCAAGAGATTATACTTCTGTTTGGTTTGGTAGTAAAAATCAAAGCAAAAATAAGACTGAAATATAAATTCTTGCCTTGTGATGAAAAGCAAAGGCCATTCAGTTGGGGCAGATAATAACATATTCCATCTTGCTCCTTAAATCTATAAATTAAAACAATAGCACCTGCAAAATGAACCTATTGTTCTAATGCGGCAGCAATTTTCTTCTGTATGAGCTCGACTCCAAGGCGAGGGGACAATCTAGGAAGTATTTCCTGCATTTATTTAAAGAAAATGTTAAACTCACATATTTTTAAATGAAATCAAGCACTTGCACCACAACTTACTAAAAAATCAAAGACTTACTCCATAACTTACACAAATTAGTTTTTTCAAGATTTGAAAGAAAGCTTAACATGTTCAAAGAACTGCACTCTATAACTTTACTTGAGCCTAAAATATTCATGATAAGCAAAGCATATGAATATTGAACGTGGTGCATCTCAATTTTTTATTTTTACTGCTTGGTATTAGTTCATAAAACTTTACTAGCAAGCACGTGTTTAGTAAGCAAGAGATTTTAAGAGGCTCCATGATGGGAAAAAAATTATGGCCAACTTGCTTAGGGACCGGAATGAGAACGAATCTTCTAAAGAAATACTGAAACTAATATGCAATATTCTTTTTTCTTCTTTTTTTGCGCACTAAATTTATCTGTTTTGTGTTCTTTTTCACTCTTGGTGTTTGAAATGTTGCTTATTTCCCAACATCAGCGCCACCGAATGCCAAAATACTAAGCAGCAAATAAATGCTATCTTTGGTGTTAAGAAGTGCTGTATACAAAGTAAAAAATATATTCTAACCCTAACATGCAATTTCAAGGAACGACTCCTTAAAGAGGCATATCAGCAAACACCTAACGGACTAACACGTTTTAACATAGTAAGTTTAGTTAGATAAAAGAGGCCACCAACCTCTCTACCATCAGGGAGTATTTTGGCAAGGACAGGAATCTCGTACTGGTACAGCCTCTCCCATTCAGCGTTCCCAGAAATATCCCTTACCTAAAACTACCGAGTCAGAGAGAGAGAGAGAGCGAGCAAGCCACAGAGAGAGATAGAGAGAGGGGGAGAGAGATTAACCTGAAGCTGGACGGAGTGGAGAGAGTGAGAGCCACCAAGGGAGAGCGCGGCCTGAAGCTTCTCTTTGAGGCCTTCACAGAGACAGCATCCGGGCTTCGTGTAAAGCACAAGCTGCCGCTGTAGAGGAGAAGCTTGCCCGCAAGTGGCTCCGCCACTGGAGAAACTGGCAAAGGCGGCGAAGAGAGGACGCTGGGCCGGCCTGCAACGGACGAGGCTATTAGCAAAAGCAATCGACGGGAGGGAGACCGTCACTCTCAAAGCCACCATAATTTGGGAGTTAGGGAAGAAACACAGAACTTTGGATTAGCGAGAGAAAAGTGATAAAAAACAGTACAATAATTGGTTGAAGATACGTTTCCATCATACTCAAAATTTTTTTATTATACCATTTTTAGTGCATATAAGCCTAACACCTAGGTGTTTATAGAATAAATCAAAGTGCTCTTTTTATACAAATTATACAACGTAAAGCTTTTGTCCCACTACGTGGGGTCGGCTTTTCATGTCATGATTATTCGACAAGTTTTACGCTGGTTGTCGACTATCTAACGCAACCCTCCACTTTTCTCATCCAGGACTTGGAACCTGACAACGGCAGTGTTCAAAGTGCTTTTTTTAACATGTATAAATTACAATAGATGAATTACATCAAATATGCATGTTGATCCTTTTATATTAATATGATGCAATGTGAATTTATCAAAATTTTAGATTAATCTACATTAAACAAATTATATAACATCAATCTCATCAAGCCTTTATCACACTCAGTGGCTCGATTACATGAATCATTTTTATTCATTGTGTTTTATTAAGAATTAAATTCTCATTTAAATTTAATAAACAAATATCATTTCTAATATTTTCTAATCAAGTCCTGTTAGATCTACATATACGTTTCTTATTATAGTCTAAATCTAAGCTATCGACTCTCCTAATTGGGTCATCTAAGACGACTATTTTATCTATCACTAAAGCTTCTTCAACATTTTCACATATATAGTGGTTTTGCTATCTGTCTTTAAGTGTAAAGCCACTCATCCACCCAAAGATCCTTGTCTTTGCCTCACTTAAACTTAATTTTATGTTTCTCTTTTAATGGCGAATATTTTGTGCCATAACTATTGTAGATCTCACAACCATCGAATAAGGTTTTCTCTTAAGTTTGAGGGGTATTTTTCGATCACACAAAAGATATATTATATTCCTCGACTTCAACCACCCAACTTGAATTGCTTAAAAATATGAAGAAAAAAAAAATCATCAAAAATAGACACATCAAGAGATTGCTAAGCTATTAGCCCCCCACTATTCGGCTTGCAAATATTTTCTATTGACCATCACTTAACACTTTCTGACAACCAATATCCAACGACCTCCATCGATCAATATTCTAGGCTCCTTAGTCAAGTAGGATTGCCTCTTATTAATATAACGGCCAAACTAATCCCCCATCTTTGCTTGACTTTTAACATTACTAATAATTTCCAATGACAAACATCCTACATTTGTTAGTCGATAATGTTTAATGCTCAACTTTATGATCATAAGGTCTCCCATCCGATCAAGAGAACAATCAAGCTATCAATCCACTACACCCAACCCTTTGCATTCCCATTCAACCATTGCACTAAGCTTGCTTTTTTTATCAATGCATGACATTCTCCATCCAATGACATTTGAAATCCACCAATTGTTGATGTTTGATACAAATTTTGCAAGTAATGTGTTTTCCCCTCATAACAGAAAAAACAGCGAAGCTAATTTCCCATTATCACTGTAATATTGATATTTCCTATCTACGACCAACTAACACTTACCAAAGAGCTTTATACAATACTAAGGCTTCATTTAGGATAATTTTCTTACTACTTTTTTTAAAATAATTTTTTAGTACAAAAAATAAAATTTTTATACTAAAAGTTTACTTTAAAAAACGATAAAAAAATGTTCCAAGCAAAACCTAAATAGCCATAAACCTTTAATGCGCATAAATAACTCGTTTAGTTTTGATTATTATGACTACAAAAGCTATCTTATCTCCACCCAATGCTGGCCACTGACATTGGCTACGTTCTTCCACTAGCCACCATCGTGATAATCACCATCATTTTTAAACTTTATATTATATTTATTTTACTTCAATCAAATAAAAAATAATAATTTCATACATTCTTTTTAAACTCGTCTAAGTCATTTCTATATGAATTTGTCTTAAATGATCTAAATGTCTATTAAAAAAAATAGCTCCTAAAACAACTCATAACTTTGTCTGCGATGCATCACATAAAAAATATATATATAATTAAAAAAATCAAACTACTGAAATTCTTTTTATGAAATAAAGTGGTATGTATATAAATCCCCTTCTTTTTTATTTTATGTGTCTGAGATTCCAAAGAAGTTCAGATCACTGTTACATACCTAACACTTACAACCGTCGCCAGGGGCTTCAGCTTCTTCCTCCTCTTATTCTCCTCCGGAACCCTGGCCTTAGGCTTACCCTTGGAAGATGAGAAAGCCCAGATTGAGCGCTTCCAGCAATACCTCCGTATTCAAACCGCCCACCCGAACCCCGACTACGCCGGGGCGGTCTCCTTCCTCTCCAGCCAGGCTCGCTCCATTGGCCTCAAAATCCTAACCTTAGAGTTCACGCCAGGAAAACCCCTCCTCCTTCTCTCCTGGACCGGCTCAGATCCCTCCCTCCCTTCCATCCTCCTCAATTCCCACCTGGACTCCGTCCCCGCCGACCCCTTGCACTGGATTCAACCCTCCCTTCTCCGCCTACCGCGTCTCCGATGGCCGTATATTTGCTCGCGGCGCCCAGGATGACAAATCCATTGCAATTCAGTACCTCGAGGCTCTCCGCAACCTCAAAGGTCGCGGGTTTTCCCCTCTGCGGTCCATCCACGTTTCCCTCGTACCCGATGAGGAGATCGGCGGCGCGGATGGGAACGAAAAGTTTGTTGCTTCCCAGGAGTTCAGGATGCTTAACGTAGGTTTCGTGCTTGACGAGGGTCAGGCCTCGCCTACGGATGAGTTCAGGGTCTTCTATGCCGATCGCTTGCCATGGTCGCTGATCGTCAACGCTGTCGGTGCGCCGGGTCATGGATCGAAGATGTATGATGGCTCTGCAGCGGAAAATCTGATGGAGTGCGTGGAGGCTATTGTTCGATTCAGGGACAGCCAGTTCGATCTAGTCAAGGCTGGTATCAGGGCCGGGTCCGAGGTCATCTCGGTGAATCCTGTGTACCTGAAAGCGGGCACGCCAACTCCTACTGTTAGTTTAGGAGCTTGTGCGTACCAATTCCCTATACACGAGTAACTTATGCTACACTACATGAGCACCATCATAAAATTTAGGTGGAGGCACTCTTATTTTAGGTTGGATATATGTTTTTTTAGTGAATTGGATTTAACCTTGACTTTATCATGTCATGAGAAATTTTCTTTAGTAGAGATTATTTGATTTTGATAAAAAATGTCTTTCCATCATCACGTCTCGTGATGTATTCTTTATATAACAAAGTTTCTCCCCAATATATACATGTGCATACAAATTAAATATGTATACATAAATTATTATTAATATTTAAAAATAATTATATTTATTTATAGAAATTGATCTAAACTATGACAAGCCATCATATTAGACACATCAAGAGATTGCTAAGCTATTAGCCCCCCATTATTTAGCTTGCAATATTTCCTATTGATCGTCACTTAACACTTTATGACAACCAATATCCAATGACCTCCATCCATCGTATTTTAGGCTCCCTAGTCAAGTAGCATTGCCTCTTATTAATATAACGGCCAAATTAATCCCTCATCATTGCCTGACTTTTAACATTCCTATTGACAGTCACTAATAATTTCTAATGACAAACATCCTACATTTGTTACTCAATAATGTTTAATGCTCAAATTTATAGTCATATGATCTCCCATCCTACCAAGAAACAATCAAGCTAGTAATGTGATAACAGAAAAAGCAGCGAAGCTAATTTCCCATTATCACTGTAATTTTGATATTTCCTATCTACGACCAACTAAAACTTACCAAAGAGCTTTATACAATACTAAGGCTTCATTTAAGATGATTTTCTTACTACTTTTTTAAAATAATTTTTTAGTACAAAAAAATAAAATTTTTATACAAAAAAGTTGATTTACGAAACAATATAAAAATTGTCCCAAACAAAACATAAATAGCCATAAACCTTTAATGCACATATATTTAATAGCATGATCACCTCTCATAATATGAGAATAATTAAACTAACTACAAGCCACCACCCAGCTTTTAAAGTAAACTTCTTTAGTTTTGATTATTATGATTTAGCTATCTTATCTCCATTCATTGCTGGCCACTGCCATTGGCTACACTCTTCCACCAGTCACCACCGTGATAATCACCACCAACTTCAAAGTTTACATTATATTTATTTTACTTCAATCAAATAAAAAATAATAATTCATACCTTCTTTTTAAATTAGTCTAAATCACTTCTATATATTATATCTTTTTTATATTATTTTTTAATTTGCTTTTTTTTTTTTTTGAACATTAGGAGTTTTAAACGCAAATTCGTGGGAGGAGTTAGTTCGCATCTACCAATGAGATGCACGCACGAACCCATTCTACATTTTGTTTTATCAAACATCGTCTAAAACACAGCTCACCTTGAATTATTGGTTGAGAACTTAGACTTCCAACTAAGAGGTCTTGAATTTAAGTATTTATATATACTTTATGGATATGAATTTATCTTAAATAAATTAAATTAAATAAATTTAAAAAAAAACAGCGCCTAAAAAACTCAAAACTTTGTCTGCCATGCAGCACATCAAAAATATAATTAAGAAAATCAAACTACTGAAATTCTTTTTATGAAATAAAGTGGTATGTATATAAATCCCCTTTTTTTTTATTTTATGTGAGTGAGGCTCCATAGAAGTTCAGATAACTGTGAGATACCTAACCAGCTACTTACTGGCATGTCACTTACAACCGTCGCCGGGGACTTCATCTTCCTCCTCCTCTTATTCTCCTCCGGAGCCGTGGGTTTAGGCTTTTCCTTGGAAGATGAGAAAGCCCAGATTGAGCGCTTCCAGCAATACCTCCGTATTCAAACCGCCCACCCGAACCCCGACTACGCCGGGGCGGTCTCCTTCCTCTCCAGCCAGGCTCGCTCCATTGGCCTCAAAATCTTTACCTTAGAGTTGGCGCCAGGAAAACCCCTCCTCCTTCTCTCCTGGACCGGCTCAGATCCCTCCCTCCCTTCCATCCTCCTCAATTCCCACCTGGACTCCGTCCCCGCCGACCCCTTGCACTGGATTCAACCCTCCCTTCTCCGCCTACCGCGACTCCGATGGCCGTATATTTGCTCGCGGCGCCCAGGATGACAAATCCATTGCAATCCAGTACATCGAGGCTCTCCGCAACCTCAAAGGTCGCGGGTTTTCTCCTCTTCGGTCCATCCACGTTTCCCTCGTACCCGATGAGGAGATCGGCGGCGCGGATGGGAACGAAAAGTTTGTTGCTTCCCAGGAGTTCAGGATGCTTAACGTAGGCTTCGTGCTTGACGAGGGTCAGGCCTCGCCTACGGATGAGTTCAGGGTCTTCTATGCCGATCGCTTGCCATGGTCGCTGATCGTCAACGCTGTCGGCGCGCCGGGTCATGGATCGAAGATGTATGATGGCTCTGCAGCGGAAAATCTGATGGAATGCGTGGAGGCTATTGTTCGATTCAGGGACAGCCAGT